GAACATCTACTTATCCTGCAATTCCCAATGCAAATCCCACCTACACTTCCTGGATCCCCACAGTAGTGTTCATCATTTCCTTCTGAACTCTCCTGGGATCTCTTTAAATCTGTATAACTTTTTAATGACTATTGTCTTCTTTACTGGACTGTATACATTTTAAGAGCACCGACTATGGGGCGCCTGGGTGGCTCAGTGCATTAAAGCCTCTGCCTTCGGCTCAGGTCATGATCCCAGGTTCCTGGGATCAAGCCTCTCATCAGGCTTTCTGCTCAGTGGGGAGCCGGCTTCCCCTCTCTTTCTGCCTGCCTCTCTGCCTACTTGTGATCTCTATCAAATAAGTAAATAAAATCTTTAAAAAAAGGGCACTGACTATACCTTTTTCATCTTTGTAATTCCTGTGGTATAGCTGTTTGAGCATGAACGTATAATTGTTAAAAGAAATAAAAACAATAGACATAAGGAATAAAGTAGAAAACCCGTAGAGATATTAAAGTTTTAAAGAGATAATAAACAATTCCCCATTCCCAACAACACACCTCCTGGTCTAGTCAACTCAGCTTGCTGATGAAGGATCTCACCTCCTAATTTTATAATGGTATGTAGAAGTAAATCAGAATTCATTGCTCAGATATCCACTTGATATTCACTGGAAAATATTTATTGCATAAAATGGAAGATATCTTTACTTCTAACTTGCTGATGTATAGTCATTAGGAAGTGGTGGAAGGGAGATTTAATATTTGTCCTCTTTGGAGAATATGACCAATTTATTGCTGAATAAGCACAGAAAGAATGAATTTAATGTGTGTGTTTTTTTCCCCCTAGAAAATGATGCAACACTATGGTGCTTAAACCCAGAACTGTGGAAGAATTAAAACTCAGCATATGAAGAGATGTACCACAGCTCTATGGTGACAACACTGAAATGGTCTAGACATCTATCTCTCATGCCATCTTTCTAAGTAAGTTTAGGTCAGCAGAGATTTTTCATGGGCCAGACTCTGCCTGGAGGTTCAGACTATTTGTAGTTAGCACTGTAATCATCAATCTTATTTCCTTCTTCAAATTGACAGCTCGAAATCCAGCACATAAGTGGCTTATCTCTGAGGAGTCCTGCTTATGAAACATAACATCCTGAATTCAAACTCTGACACACCCAACTATTTACTGTTATAAAAGATGTGGCAAATAGGAGCACCTGGGTGGCTCAGTTGGTTAAACATTCAACTCTTGATTTCAGCTCAGGTCATGATCCATGATCGCAGGGTTGTGAGACCAAGCCCCACATCAGGATCTGTTCTGAGCATAGAGCCCACTTAAGATTCTCTCTCTTCCCCTGCCCCTCCCCACTCTCTCCCTCTCTCAAAAAAAAGAAAGATGTGGCAAGTAGAGGACTGCTAGACCATGCACTCATCTCCAAGCCACTTCTGTTGCACCTTCATGGCCACAATGACCCAGATTTGGAGATCAGTAGACAAAAGCAATGAGGTCTCCTACCTTATGTTGAGTACTATGTCTTATACCTGGCATGATTTCTGTGATCTGATTCTGATAAGGGATAGAGCGCAAGTGTGTATTCTAGTCTAAGCTGATTTGTCTGATCTCAGGAGTAGGAAAATAAGAAGATCCCAAACTATCATATGAAAAACATCTCAAGACTCTTATAATACCACTTTCAAAAAGTATTCAGCATCCACTATTGCCAGGCATCTGTGCTACACACTAGGTATTTAGTAAGCGTCGTGTCTTTTCCCACACAGCTTACAGTCTAGCAGAAGAAACAGACATTAGACTGATAAATACACATATAAATATCTAATTAGAAAATGAGATGAGGATTAAAAGAATAACAGAAAGGGGCTAACCTCCACCAGTGGTGAGGGAATAATTAGAGAATGTTTTTTTTTTTTTTGAGGAAATGACAATTAAGGTTAAGATTGAGATGTGTAAATGGGAGGTAATAGTCAATCAATGTGGTTTCAGATTGTACTCTTCTTTAGAAAGTGCTTTCAGTCAGGTCTATTTTTATTTATTTATTTAAGATTTTATTTATTCATTTGAGAGCAAGAGAGCACAAGCAGGGGGAGAGGCAGAGGGAGAGGGAGGAGCAGACTCCCTGCTGAGCTGGTTGCCCAACGTGAGGCTTGATCCCTGGACACTGGGATCATGACCTGAGCAGAATGCAGACATTTAACCATCTAATACGTTTTTTTAAAATAGGTTCCACACTCAACACAGGGGGCTTGAACTCATGACCCTGAGGGCCAAGAGCCGCATCCTCTACCAAGTGATCCAGTCAGGTGCCGCACAGTCAGGTTGTTTTTCCTTGCCTATCCTATTGACTTTTAGCTAAATTTGGTATTACTGATGTTCCTTACTGAAAAAAAACAAAAAAAAACAAAAAAACCACTCCCCCTTGCTTTTGTGACAATGCTTTTGAAGCTGTCTTCACATTTCTCCGCCCACTCTGCAAGCCTCCTCTGTAGTCTCTTCTTCCTTCCCAGCCCCAGGGTGGGGCTGAGTCCCTCCCTGGGTGATCTATCTCTCTCTCTCCATGGATTCAATCCTTATACCCTGGAGACGCCCAAATCTCTATCTTCAGCTACTTCTCAAGCTCCAAATTTGTATGTTCAACTGTTTGACGAGTATCTCTTTCTGGATAACTCAGAGATGACTCAAATTCAATGAATCTGAAACTCAATTTATATTCCCACCTAAATCTATTCTTGCAACTATTGCCCACCTTCATTATTGCAAAATTATCTACACTATCTTTGCAGCTAGAAAACATGGAATCTTTCTCAACCTCTCCCTTTATTTCACCTCTCAGATTCACCAGATCTTCTCTATTCCTGTTCATCCTTAGTTTAAGCCCTACTCATAGCCTAAGTAGATTATTTAAAACATTTCTGGAGTGCCTGGGTAACTCAGTCAGTTAAGCATCTGCCTTTGGCTCAGGTCATAATCCCAGAGTCCCAGGACTGAGCCCTGCATCAGGTTCCCCGCTCAGCAGAGAGTTTGCTTCTCCCTCTGACCCTCTCCCATCCAGTGGTCTCTCTCTCTCTCTCTCTCTCTCTCTCTCAAATAAACAGATGAAATCTTTAAAAAAAATAAAACATTTCCGAACTATTCATCTGGTCTTTAGATTATACCCACTCCATTCCGTCCTTTTTACTACCATCAGTTACATTTTTAAAACAAGTATTTGATCATTCCTACATGGTTCTCCAATATCCACCCTAGAAAGTATAAATCTCTTATCATGATGTTTAGATACTTTATAGTCTGGGCCTATTGGGCCTTTTAAAGACTAATTTTCTGCCACTGTTTCCCATGTATTTTGTTGTCTAAAATAGCTAACCTTTGTTCAAACCCACCAGGCATCCTCTTTATTCTGTGTGCCTGTGTATGTGTTGTTTTATCTACATAGAATGCCCTTCCCTCTTGTTCTTCCAAACACATGCTCATCTTCCTCTAGTCTCCTTAAATATCACTTCTTTTGCAATATGAACCCATCTGTCATAGTTAAAGCTAGTTATTTTCTCTTCTGTGCCCCCATAATACTTAGTTCATACTTTTATTTTAGTACTTACAATATAGTATTGTGATTATTTGTGTGTCACTCCCTTCCCCATAGGCTTTTCAAGACGGCAGGAAATACATCTTACATCTGACACACAAGTTCTCGTATATTCACTGACTCTTGAATTATATATAATTATTTACTCATTTCTTGTTAATTATCATCATCTTAATAGTTAACTACTTATTGAATACCTACTGTGTTTCAGGCACTGAATCAGGCACCACACAAATTCCATCTCATTTGTTTTTCACAATACCTCCAAGAGCCAACTGTTATTATCTCCATTGTATTTTGAAAAACCAAGGTGGGGCACCTGGGTGGCTCAGTCAGTTAAGTGTCTGACTCTTGATTTCAGCTCAGGTCATGATCTCAGGTTGTGAGTTTGAGCCCTGCATCAGGCTCCATGCTCAGTGGGGAGTTTGCTTCTTTCTCTCTCCTTCGGCCCCCTCCAAATAAATAAATCTTTAAAAAAAGTAATAAAAATAAATAAACCAAGGTTATGATGAAATTACTTGCCTACAAGTGTCAGTAACTGACTGAGCCTAATTTAAATCATAGATTATTATAAGACTGATTTTTTTTTATCTCACTGTAGCTCTAGCCCCCTTACAAATATCTATAAGAATTTAAAACCAATCAAATGTCATCTTAACTAACATGGAAAAAAATCTATGTTCCTTTTGGAATATTTAGTGTATTATCAGAATCTTGCAGGATTATTTTGACATTGATTTCTCTTGTATGTCAACAAAAGTAACCTTATAATATACGATATTCAATTTTTATTGGATATATACATTTAGAACATTCAAATAATTTGATTAAGGATGATTTTTCTAAAATAAGATTTGTTAATATTTATGTTACTAAATCAAAACATTTTATTATTTTTTAAAGATTTTATTTATTTATTTGACAGACAGAGATCACAAGTAGGCAGAGAGGCAGGCAGAGAGAGAGCAGGAAGCAGGTTCCCCGCTGAGCAGAGAGCCTGATGTGGGGCTCGATCCCAGGACCCTTAGATCATGACCTGAGCTGAAGGCAGAGGCTTTAACCCACTGAGCCACCTAGGCACCCCATAAATCAAAACTTTTGGATGGGAATGGACTTTATAACTGATTATATACAATTGCATATCCCAAATGATGCTATGAGAGCTCTAACACAAGTTTCTGAACTAAATGTAATGTCATTGGTTGAGTTATAAGCCTCTTTAAGTTTTAATTTGGCACCATATAGTATACCAAATTTAATAAAGGAGGAAAATACCACTTCTAGTTAGAGGAGTTTTTTCTAATTGCATTTAAATTATTTTTAAAAAGAGAAGAAAAAGAAGGAAAAAAACTAAAAGAGGAAAAAAATTTAAACAGAAATAATACAAGTTTCCTTTCCAATCACTTAATGTCCTTACCAGTGCACACAGAAGGTCAACTGCTTCCAAGATCAATTCCTGATGGCCAATGCGGCTGACCCCCAGATCTTCTAGCTCCTGATGCGTAATACGAAGCAGCTGATCTCCACTGATCTTCTCCCTCTCGAAGTTCTTAATATACTGCTGCAAACAGTCATCAAGACCTGCAGAAGAAAAATATGGAAGACCAGAATGAAAAAAAAAACAGTGGAACCAAACAAACAGAAAAAATAAAATAAAATAAGCATTAACTCCTACCAAGTCACAAGTTAAGTCTGTTTCAACTCTGAACTAGTTCAATCATCCACTTTTTCTCAACCCATATATGGATTGCAGGAGGCAAAAAACCACTTCATGATATCCTAGTTGTTAGACTCTTATTTGAATTTTCCTCAGCAATTATAGGAAATCTTTACCTCACTTCTCAAGCATTTCTCTTTGCTGGTTATTTCATAAAGTGTGTTAATAAGCAGGTCCTCCCCACTTCTAAACTTACCTATATCTCACTCCTCCTTTCTTCTTTAACCCCACTGCAGAGGGAGAGTTATCCTTCCTTCCTGTACAAGACTAATAGATCTTCCTGTGCTCTGGAATCCTACCTCATGCCACCTTAACACACTTCAACAATTAAAAAATTAAACACTCTCTTTATTTCAACCATTTCTTAGCCACTGACTCCTGTATTCAAACTTCTGCCAGCTTAAAAAACAAAATAAACAAAAAACCTTTCCTTGATTTCTTAGATCTTGTATTCCCCCCCTAGTTTGTTATTCCCTTCAGAGCCAAGTTCCTTACCTTTTTATCCCACCTGCACTGTACTCCCTTATCCACTAACATATAGATTTTACCCAAATTTGAAAGAGAAATCCAGAGTGGATACATTTTTCAGGATTACTGAGGGCACTTTATAAGTGAACAGCCAGGCTATAGACAGGTCAGCTTCAACTACCTATAAAATAACCTGATACAAATGATGAACAAATGGTGAACTGAACTAACAAGATTACTTTTCTCCAGATTTTTAAGTAAGGAGCACCAAGAAAATGAGGCAATTAACAAAAACTGAAAGATCTTAATCTTAAATCAGGCCATAAATATCTCTCATCCAGACTAAAACTGTTTTATGGGTTTCCTGTTGCGAGTCACTATCCCCTCCAGTTCATCTCTCCCAACATAAAAATTCTGATGTCATTCTTTATCTCAAAACTTTTCAGTTTCTTCATATTTATGACAGAATATAATCTGAACTCCTTTATATAGTGTTCAAGGCCCTTCCTGATCTGGACCTTGCCTTCCTATATGACTTATTCCAGACACACTCCATAATCTCCCATTCTACACTACAGACCTCCTTTACAACAATGCCCACTTTGTATTTTATTTTGTTCCCATCTCTGTATGACCAATAAATAGCCTGGAAATTCATTGAAGTTGAAGACTGTGTCTTCTGAATGAAAATCCAGGGCTTAGCACAGTGACTAACACAGAGTAGGGCTCAATAAGTGTAAAATGAACAAATCAGACATGATTTTATGTTATATCACCTGGTCGAGAAAATCAGGAACATTTTAGATAAGACTAAATCTAAAAATAAGAGTGGAGGGAAGGAACATTTGGTATGTGGCATTTTGAGGCACTCATGTCTTAACACATTGCAGAGTAAGAGGAGACAGAATGCTATTATTTTGAGTTGATATTTCTTATGATTCTTCTATGTAAAGGAATGATAAAGGATCTCTTAGAGCACCAGCACCACCAGCATCGTTAGTAAGGTTACAGACCAAGTCACATAATATGTGGCAGAGGAGAAATAAGGGAGAGATCACATTAATTGCTGCCTAATTTAAGATCAAAATGTATTACCCCATCATATAAGGAGCATCTTGGCTCCTGTATTTAAAATTTAAAATATATGGCAAATACACAGCTAGGATATTATAATACAATGATAATAATGTCACTTTGTGTCAATATGCATATTTATGAACTATAAAGTGCTTTTATATACAATTTTTTTCCTCCCTGAACTATAAATAATAAATGACCTTATTTTGTTATTTTGACTGAAAGGTCACAATCAAGATCTCAAATCTGTGTATGGAGAAAATATGGTCCAAAAAGCCATCTACAAAAATCACAAAAATGAATACATCATACTATTGGCCTAAAGGCCCGAACTTCATGATTCTGGGATCTATACAGCATACATGTAACAATTAAAACCTCCTCACTCACTCATATACTATTTTATTTAAAGAAGAACTGTCCCATTTTCAAGAATGAGAAGCTCTTTGGTGATTATAACTAGTCTTCAACACTGTAACATTTATTCAATAGATAAAATGGGAACAAATATATACCAGATTTTACAAGTGGTTATGTACCTCTTTTTAAAAAAGCTTTAATGTGGCATAAAATATTTCTTTACTTTCCACCAAATTTTACCCTAAGTTGACCAATATTCTAAATAATTATAAGTAAATTTTATAAGCTCCACTTACAAATTGCTGTTATTCTCAAGAAAACATACAGAAAATAAATTTTGATCCATACTCTAAAAACCACACAAGTGTACCATGAAGAAAATTGTGCACTTTTGTGGAATGAAACATTAAACTATATGCATTTTTTGTCTTAAAAAACCACGCCTTAAAACAAGAAGAAGGCTTGAAATCATTACTATGACATGTGTCTCTGACTTTTTCAAAGTGAGTAACACTGCTTTCCACCAACTTCAGGGAAGAGGAATTAACATAATAATGGATCTAGAAAGATGTTCCAAAAATAATGACAGATTACAAAATGATGACAAGATATCTCCAAAGGATGCACAAATTTTCAGTAAATCAACAATATCACAGAAGACAGAGTAAAATAAATTAATCTACTATATGTGGAAGTAGATATAAAAGATGCAAACTACTATATTCAATGTTCGAAATCTTTTTTAAAAAGATTTTATTTATTTGAGAAAGAGATTGAGAGAGCATGCATGAGCGGGGAGGGTTAGAGGGGGAAGGAGAAAGAATCTGAAGCAGACCCTGCACTGAGTGCGGAGCTCAGTGCAGGGCTGGATCCCAGACTGGAAGAACATGACCTGTGCCAAAACCAAGAGTCAAATGCTTAACTGACTGAGCCACCCAGGCACCCTAATGTTCAAAATCTTAAAAACCGACTTAAAATGGTATTAAGAAGAGGACTCTGTCCTTACTCCAGGAAACTTTACTTTATACACCATTTTATACATAATACATGTGCTCTTATCTATAAACAGAACACTCTGATATTTAAAGCAAAAAATAAAAATGTAAGTTCATTTGTTAGAGTTCTGTTGCCACTATTTACTGTGAAGAACAAAGACCAACAAATGAAGATTTGTGAGGACCTCTGTCCCTTCTGCAAAATAAGGTCAGGAGATTAAAAATGAACACATATTAATTCAATATCTGCTTTCTGGAGTCAAATACACGAATGATAACTCGAGGCAGAAGGTCTTAATTTTAATGTAGTTTTTTAAAAAGATTTTATTTATTTATTGGACAGAGAGAGAGATCACAAGTAGGCAGAGAGGCAGGCAGAGAGAGAGGAGGAAGCAGGCTCCCTGCTGAGCAGAGAGCCCGATGCGGGGCTCCATCCCAGCACCCTGGGATCATGACCTGAGCCGAAGGCAGAAGCTTAACCCACTGAGCCACCCAGGCGCCCCTAATGTAGTTTTCATTCCCCTTATTTCACTGACACTGCTTTTTTTCCAATGACCAAAATCACACCAGACTCAACTGCCTCATTTACAATCTCATTCTCCCTAAGCAAGTTATTTATTTATGCCACTTTTTTCTAGTCTCAGAACCACCTTAGATAATTCCGCAATTTAATCTCTTATCTTGTCAGTTAGTAAAGAACATAATTTCTTCATTCAAAATAGCTGCTGCTCTGTCCTTTCATTCCTGATCTCATTGTCCCCAGCTTACTCATGCTGTACAGCCTGCCCTGATGCCCACCTGCTCCCCTGGGCATCAGTCTGCCTAGTCTATCACTGTCAGATCTCTAAAAACACTCTTCGATCAAGCCATTTCCCAATTCAAAAAATGTCAGAGTCTTCCTGCCAAAAGGTTAAAATTCAAAAATCTTTTCTTATTTTTAAGGCTTTTTTGGGGGAAGGAGTCTTGGATGTTATTATCAGTTAGCATTTGTGTATTAATTGCAACAACTACTATAGACAATAAAAGCATTTTCTACATTACAAACAGCCAGAAAGCTTATGTAACCATGCTTTTCTTCTATGCATAGGATGATACATAACGAAAAATGATCCAGCAAAAGATAATTCCTACTTAAGATCTTGGGATATTTCCCAAACCATCTGAAAAGGATGAAATTACATTCTAAAGCATTTTGGCACTAAATGACTTTACTGTATTCTAATTATTGGAAAACTGGCTAACCTATGTAAATATACAAGCTACTTAACATACTCAGAATATTTAATAAAATAAATTCCTGAAATATTCTAGAAAAATGAGATTTTGATCTAGAACCTACGTAGTTAAAAATTTCTTTAACAATTTCCATATAGTTCTCGGATGACATCGCCTGATGATTTCTTGCTTTAATTAACAGATGAGCTGCCTATCACCCTTACTTAGTAAGTAAAAGTATATTTACTCTTTGCTGTGCTTTTGATTATATTCCAGTTTATATTTTGTTCAACCAAAAAAAAAAAAGAAGGAAAAGTTTTCTTCAAAAACACCTATGCCACTAGAAAATTCTAAATTCCAACAACAAAAAAGGCAGTATGTGTTTTAACAACTGAAAAACAATGTGAACAAGAATAACCAACTGTGGGTCATGGCATGAAATACTACTCAGCAATAAAAAGGGAACTATTGATATATACAACATGGATGGATCCCAAAGGTATTATGCTGTGTGCAAATGGCAACTCTGAAATAAGTTATTGAATGATTCCATTTATACTACATACTGAAAAAGGCAAAACTATAGCAACAGAAAACAGATTAGTAGTTGCCAGGGATTGGGAATATGAAGAGGCTAAGCAATAGGAGGGCATTTTGGGGGGTGATCACACTGTTTTGTATCATGACTGTGGTGTGCTGGTGGTATAATTCTATATATCTGTTAAAATGCTTACAATTCTAACACCAAA